TCCCCCCCCCCTCTCTCGCCCTCCTCTTTCTCACTTACTCCCACTCCCCCTCTCTATGTCTCTCTGTCTTTTTTTCTCTTCTGAGACATTTTCCGGTCGAACTTTTTTTTTTTTTTTACCTTATTACTCTAGTGATCAATTCCTTAAGAAATCAGGAATGAAAGTGATGAAATAGAAATAATGCTTTTTCTTTGATACTGATGAGAATTCGATGGAACTGAAAGAAATAAGCAGTTAAAACAAATCAAAGTGGGGATGCCCGTTATAAAAGCAGTTAGGAATAGACAGCAATAAAGGAAGTTCCTACGATATTTTCAAAGGTGAAATTTTATAAGTTTAGCTCGGGACCTCCAAGTTTAACGTCCTCCGAAAGGACCAGGCCAAAAGGCAAATTTATGTAAAGTGCCTTTCCAAAGGACACAACGTCGGACCGAGCTCAGGCTTGAACCCCCGGACCGGCAGTCTCAAGATTACGAGTCCTGTAGCCTAATCACTAGGCCACCAATGCCACCGACGATATTTGAATAAACGTGATGAAAAGCCTCGACGAACATCTTACTCTCACTGAAATAAAAGATGGGAGGCAAAACAGGCAGAGGGATACAAGGTCCAAGTAAAGAGACCGAGAACAAAATTGTGTCGTGCTGAGCTTTTGATCAAAGTTTTCTGGGAAAAAAATCACACAGAAATGTGTTTTACAATGAACATACAAGGTGTTGAAATAAAATAAGAATAATTTATAAAAATTGCCCAAGGAGTGGGAAAATGCCTGTTTCTTTGATTTCATTATTTTGACGAGATCCTGATTTCACGATGACTCACAATTAATTGCACTTGATGAAAGGTTGCCCCTCACAAGGGGATCCAACTCAGGCCTTCTGTATGTGAAGGAGAAACGACTAACATCTATACCACACGCTCTTGTATGCCTTGGGAAAGGCATCATCTTCATCATCATTGCCTTTTTCACCCTGGGTCAGGATATAGGCCACGAACAAACACTCTCCACCTGTCCCTATCCTGGGCTAGTCGCTTGATGTCACTCCACGTCTTCCCACTTTTCTGTCGGTCTTTTCGGAGAAGGACATAAAACTCGGAGGTCGCGCCTCTTAAATAACCTAACAGTGTTGATAAAGGCGTTAAACGCATACCATTCCACGTTTCACCAAATGATATTTAAAAGACCCAAACACATCACATAACACACCCAAAAGTATTTCCTAATCAACACTTTAATTACCTTGACCCAAATACACAACATCACACACACAGAAACTATGGCCTTAACCCCGAAACCCTCAAAAACAACACAAAAAGAAACTATCCCCTTCCAACACTACAATGGCCTTGACCTATACACACAACATAACGCACAGAGAAACTTTCAACATCCAACACAATAATGACCTTGACTCAAACACGCAATATAACACGAATAGAAATTACCCCACCCTCATTCAATGTTTAATAACAGTCCTCTACCCTCCTACACACACAAACACACACACACACACACACACACACACACACTCACTCACTCACTCACTCAGAGAGGGAGAACGAGATAAAGAGAGAACGAGATAGAGAGAGAAAGAGAAAATGGGAAGAGTGATCCCTCTTTTGATGCTCTTGATTTTTAATTTTAGTTTTAGCCGGACTATCTGAAAGCGTGGCCATTTCAGATCAACCAAGGTTCAGATACGGGTTTGAGAGAGAGAGAGAGAGA